AACCACCCCCCCCCCCCCCCAAAAAATAAATCAAAAACTCCGTAGAAATTGTTAAATGGGGCGGGGAAAATGCCAATGTCTTTGAATTAATTTTTTGACAAGCGACTGGGGGGGGGGGGGGGGGCACTAGTAACACAAATAGGTCATATGAGTTCCGACAATTAGAGGTATTGCAAGAGGGTAACATAATTTATAAAGAAAAGAAGTAGGCTTGACAAGGGCAGCAAAGGTTTGATAGGAAAGAAGATTCAAACCTTAAAAAGCACCTACCAATCACACATAGTGAGGGAGCAAATTCGAAAAAGGTGATTAATATGTAAGAGGAAAACATAACAAAAACAGGTCACCTCCATCCGATCGCTACCACGTTTTCTCTCTTTCTTTCTTAAACGTTGCATGAGTCTTATAGCCTACTTTTTCTTTATCAACCAACTAGAGCCTCTGCTACTCGACAGAGCAAGCCATCTCTGTGAAACCCGTGCGCGAATAATGTGGATAAGATTCCAGGAAAACGCGCCAAAGACATATCAGGAAATCCATGGCAGATTCATGAGCGATATACGAGGGGCGGCGTCAGGAATTCCTGCTCTCTTGTGATTTATGGTCTTCGTAACATTGGAGATTCCGATCAATTGTATTCCAGAGGATTCACGCGCCGACGCTTTCTGGAGAATAATTATCCCTTCAGAAGGAATCTTCTCTAATGATCTCTGGCCTGTCATTCACGGCCTCCAGTGAGCCATTTTGTTTTGTCCATGTTGGGCTGGGTTGTCGTTTGATTCTGTGGAACAGTCTTGTGAAAAGCGGATACTGGGATTTGAGTGGGGTTTTGTCCCCCACCCCCCACCCCCAATGCCACTCCTGATTTTTTAGTCATCCTCATCATCATCATCATCATCATCATCATCATCATCATCATCATCATCATCATCATCATCATCATCATCATCATCATCATCGCCATCCTCATCATCATCAATATCATCATCATCATCATTCCAGTCGTCACAACAACAATACATGTAGCAGCAATACGAACAACAAAAAAACAACGATAACAACAACAACAAAATAACATCAACAAAACAGCAATAACAAAACAACAGCAACGACAACACCAACAACAACAACAGCATCAATTAAAAAAAAACCAACCACTACGACAACAACATAGCTTGATTTCAAAAGTCCACCTTCCAAAATGCCAACACCAAACTTGAAACCTGGTACATAATCATTGTCTTTGACGTCTTCTATCTGACATTTTTTTGACGTTTTGAGCAACTAAGACTTTGAGGTCAGAACCGTTTGTATATGTTCTATCTGCTCTGTTAAAATCGTTAGTGTTGCAAGTGCCATAAAACTCTTACTAACAGTAAGATTATTCGGAGTGGTTATCAAGATATTGAAAGAACTGCATTTTTTAAAAGCTTGAATTGCTGTGAAACCCAACATATTTTTACGTCAAACTTCTCAAAACTAGGTACAGGACAGATAGAACGTTGTTGTAATCCTGAGATAGCGAGTTGACACATGGTGTGTTATCACTGTCCTTGTCGCCTGCGTTACACAAGCAGTAACTCAATCAACAGTCTGTCGAGGTCGTACATAGTGTTTGTGTGGCTGGTCGGTGGGTGCTCGGATGTGGTTTTCCTATCAAACATCCCTCATCTTTATCTCCCCTCCATCTTTGTTTGTGTTTGTTACTCCCTTATAACACCTCTAATCTTCGGCACTTATATTTATATGACCTTATGGTGTTGCAACTGCCGTAAAACTCGTACAAAAAATAGTGTTTGTTTAGAGGCTGGAAGCGCCACATCTAGTAATTGAACTTCTTCTACATTATCATCATCACCATCAGCAACAGCGCCATCATCATCATCACTAGTAGTAGTAGAAGTAGTAGTAGTAGCAGCAGCAGCAGCAGCAGCAACAGTAGCAGCAAGCAACAGCTTCGGAGCGCCGCTAGTATCACAATCATCATCCTCATCATCATCCTCATCATCATCATCATCATCATCATCATCATCATCATCATCATCATCATCATCATCATCATCATCATCAGTGTTATCACCTCTACCACCACCACAACCACCACAACTATCACAAATCAAAATTACAAATATCAACAGTATCACAACCACTACCACCACCATCACTACCATCATCATCATCAGAAACGCTATCACCACTACCACCATCACTACCACTACCACAATCATCATCATTGTCATCATCATCATCATCATCATCATCATCACTGCTATCACCACTACCACCACCGCTACCACCACACCACCACCATCATCACCACCGCTCCACCACCACCACCACCACCACCATCACCACTACCAACATAATCAGCAACAAGCAGCTGGTGTTGTACATCGTGTTTGTTTGGTGTCTGGAACCACCGCGCGTCAGATCGATAATAACTGAAGGCTTTTTTATGATTTTGTTTTTTACACCGTAGGAATTGCCACCTCCAGACAGGTGGGTTGGACAGTTTTTACGTCGTATTCTCGAGTTCGATTGACATCTGGCGACCCTTAAATGACAACGTTCTATATGCTCGATGCCTAGTTTTTGAGATATTTGACTTTTTTTTAAATTTCGAGTTTCACAAAATGTCAAGTTTTTTCGACAGCAACTCTTTGATTATCCTGATAACGATTCCGAATTGTCTTACAATTTTGATAGAGTAGATAGAACGCTTGGTTTATGACTTCATAGTTTTAGTATTTCAAAACGGCCAAAAAGTCCGATAGAACTTTATTAATTTTAAGATAACGATGTGGCGAACCTAGAATGACATAGGTCAACCTCAGTAACACTCACTTTTAAGATATTAACCATGACAATGCCGCCTGCATTGGAGTACCAGAACAAGGGAGACAATCACCCCGTTTGGGTGGAAAACACTGCCACACCCTACTTATTCTCCTGATTTGACACCTTCAGACTTACACCTCTTCGGTTCAAAAGAAGAATCATTGAGAGGTGAACACTATGGAAACGATGGAGAAATCATGACTGCTGTACCCCTACGACCACCCTGCTCAGTTTTACAAAGCTGGCATATTATGTGGACTTAGCCAAAGGTAGACAGTGGCTATTGAACGAAATGGAGACTATGTTGAGATATAGAAATCTGATCCTTAGATGCTCCCCTTCAGTCTGAAGTATGATATTGCAAGTGTGTTCTTTTTTCTTTAAGTTATAAACCAACGTGCATTACTTTTTGACTCCCCCTCGTACTTGTGATAATAGTGAAAAAGAAGGGGTTTTTTTTAAAGGATGTAATAACAATAACAGGAAAATATTCTAGCACTTTCAACTAATCGGGCCAGTTCATCTAGTTACAAAAAGCACATGTCAAGTATGATAGGTTAGAGATCACAGCAATGTTTCACAATACCGAACTAATTCCCACATCTACGAGCCAAACCAGCATGGTGTCGGGGTCAAGCGCTTCGCCGTCGCATGCATAAGACTTGAGTTCGGTTGCCTATTGTTTTGTTTTGGTATTTGTTGTTTGTTTGATTTTTTGGATTTAGGGGGAAGGGGCTTGTTGTTGTTTGTTTGTTTTGTTATTGTTGGTTTGTTTTTGTGTCTTCTTTTGTTGTTTTTTGTTGTTGTTTTTTTTGTTGTTGTTTTTTGTTTTTGTTTTTGGTTTTTTTTTTGGTTTTTTTG